TGGTCGGTGACCTAAAGTATGCTTTCTCAAGCGTTTTGCTACGGCAACCCCGCTGCAGAATGAGATTTACACTGTCACTACACTACGCGGGTCAGACAGTTATCATAAGCGGCTTCTAGATGGTCGTCACTGGCCGTGCGTTCACCGACGTCTGTTGATGTTGCACCAGCACATTTTCCCATTTGATCAGCAGTATTTACTGTCCGCGGTCCTCAAGTCTACATTAGCATCATCCAAGTAAGGACATGGTATTAAGCTTGTTAGATCGTACGAATTTGTTCTATGCGTATTACTTCGCGTTAGACAAAGCCAACTCGTAAAGTCAAAGCTTAATTTGCGTAAGGTGCATGGCCACACCATTGCACTTAATGGCACTTTACAACCAGGTATTACAAGTCTGGTATCTCCATGAAAATAGAACACGGAATTCAAGCTATTCTCTTTCACCATTACTAGAAATGAATTGTTCCACGGGATGTTAACACCCACTGACTCCTTCTCTACTGGACTGCATTGTTCTGCTCAGAACAAGTTTAATACTTTTGAGAAGACTAGTGTGTACGTTCCAATAGCACGATACGTACCTAATTACGGCCACCCTAGCCAATGGTATTCGACCAAGCGACAGAGTTGTGGCAAACGATTGTCTTTTATGTCGGTCACTGACGTTGGTACTCCGGCTAAGACTGATAGGCGGTGTGAGCTAGTACTCCACAATTGCTAAACACATCAAGCCAAGGAGGAATCGCCTTTGAATTAAATATTTTTAATTTTATGTTGGAAATGATGGGGCGAGGCTGCATATTGCGCCCGTATTAAGGAGCGCACTGGTATATGGCGTCTCATGCAATTTGTTGCAGCTACACTGTAGATTCACACACTGTAGACATGTGTGAGCTCTCAACAATAAGGTTCTTGAAAGGAAGAGAAGCCTAAAACAATGCATATATCATATATTGCATCAATTCGCAAGTTAACAGATTCGTAACCACAAACAGGGACCGAGAACGTTTGTTAAGTATGCTCCGTCGAGCAAGGTGTTATTAAGCAAACCGCTACACTTGCAATGAGGCCAAAAAGGGATGACGTACGAAAAAGTGGTCCGTACAAGTCAAGAGATGACGAGAGGCCACAATTATTTCCCACGTATTTATTTGTAGACATCTGTTTGAATCCGAATGTTTATTTCTTTTATAATGTTGCCATTAGAAATAAAAGTTGGTATGTATGTAGCCATCAGTAAACATTTACAATCACACGCTCAAAAATGAAACCATTCTGCCCAATCGTGCGTACAACTGAAAACACAAGCCAATCTGTTTCGTGACAAGCAGATAAATCGCTTTTGCCTTGGCGGTCATCCACAAGTATGTATCTACTATCTGTTTTCGCGTTAATGTCTGTTTGCAATTACTTCACGCAGGTGTTTCAAGCTCTTGAAACAACAACAACTTTCATCCAAGGTAGAGATTTTGCTTTGTACTTATCGAGTACATCGACTGATATCTCAAACAATCGAGAGATGTATCATATTGCCACATTGTTGAATAACTTTTGATTAGTCCTGCTAAAGAGCGCTTTGCTGTAGCTAGGACACATTCGATGACGCCATGGCGCATAAAACAGATTATTGTAACCTTAATATCTCCCATCCTCAAAAGGCATACTAATTTAGTGGGTCCCACCATAACATATGGTATGCTCCCACCTAGTAAAGAACACTACAGTCCAGAGATGCCGTCTGGTTAAAATTTCTAACATGCATGACCTATCTTCCAAAGTACGCATGTACAGTAGCGGTACACTATGCGAATCGATCAAGTGCCGTGCGAGCTGTCGCAGATTCAAACATTTCTTGACTCAATCACCGCTGACAGCTCGCGAAGGGAACGCTTCAGGATGGTATCTCATTGGGGAGCTTCCGACTTGAATATTTGATGCAAAAAGTGTGGAGCGAGAAACACAAATATGCATGCCGGATTTTTACGATCAAATCAAGTGCCAAATCCCTTATTAAGAACAATGTTCGATTCTTTGATTCTTCGGCTTTCGAATGAGATGTCACAGACTTTACTAATTGCTTCGTAGTAAACAGCTAACTCGTTTTGCGTTCAAGTGCTGCCACCTTATCGTTCGTTTTGTAGACGAAGCTACTCGCACTATAATTTGATCGCAAGGCAGATTGAACCATAAGTTCGCAGCTAAGGAACATTTCTTTTTCTTTCTTGTTTGATTGGTCACAAACCATCCTGACTTTTTTCTGGTCATACATACCGAATATTTCAATGACCGTTTCCATACAAAAAGCATGATTTTTAGTAACCCTATCCCTGTGCGCACTCCCTCTTTCGCACGCTTGAACAGAGTGATAGTGACGGTCATAACGGGAAACCCCCAGCGAAGAGAGGAAGGAACGTGAGGCATTGGTTTGTGTCCCACGCCCTGTCGCTTTAGCTACCCGCGCGCGGGTATTTCGACAGTTCATTTCCTTTAGGTTTTCTTTTGACTTTTGTGCGAGAAGAAGGTCAGTGCAATTATGGCGCAACGCGGGCCTTCTGGACACGGTGAGACGGACCGACGTCGGCGCGCAAGCTCTAACTACTTTGAGCTGGATGCTGATCGACGCCGCAACAAGTCGGAGCGCTCGGAACGATTTAGTAAGCGCCTCAGTACGATGGAAATGACGCCTTCGAGTACTAAAGGCACGGCACAGGACGATGAGATTGCTGTAGATTATTGTTGCGAGTTTCTCAGGGCAAAATTTGGGTTTCAAGAAGGTTCTGTGAGTAATCAGCGAGAACATGTATTGCTTTTATTGGCTAATGGCAAGGCACGGTGTCAGTCGACCGACGCGGCCGACCACCATCTCTTGCAATTGGCCAATAAATTGTTTATGAACTATCATTCGTGGTGCAAGTTTCTGCATGCGACGCCAGTCACTTATACAGGCAATAACGTGCCAAATTCAACTTCTGCTGGCAATTTGTATATGGATGTGATGCTCTACTTTTTGATTTGGGGAGAAGCTGCCAATGCTCGTCTTTTGCCTGAATGTCTGTGTTATCTATTCCACCAGATGCTGACGATGGTGAATGCCGACCCACAAGGCAACGAACAACAGCCGGAGGGGTGGTACTTAGACCAAGTGATTCGTCCAATCTGGAGAGAAGCGAGCAACATGAAGCGGCGCAACGCGCTAGGAATGCCTCTAGAGCATGTAAAAATTCGAAATTACGATGATATCAACGAATACTTTTGGAAAGCTCACTGTTTGAGCATTCCGGTGACACAAGTAGGTCAGGAACTGACTCAAAATCATGGCAAGACATTTTATGAACACCGCAGTATTTTTACGATGGTACTGAATTATTACAGAATTTTTCAATTTCAAATGATGTTGCTTGTCCTTTTAACAGTATTAGCCTTTGCTGTAACGATTTCACCTGATGGTGGTCAAGGTGGCTGGGCGCAATTTGGTAGCATTGGCGACGTAGTGGCACCTTACAGCACTCGTGACTTGAGAGTGGCGATTGTGGCCGTTCCGTTCAGTTTAAGTTTGATGGCTTTTTTTAAATGTGTCATGGAAGTGTGCCACGGATGGCATTTGCTCGTTTCAAAAGAAAGTTCCACAACAAGCTCCCGATCTCTCACGTATGGTATGGCATTGGGCACTCGCATTATCTGGAATGGTGGTTTTGCTATTCTATTTGCAATCATGATTTATGTACCACTGAATGAAGACCGAGACACGATGTTGCTTGATAATCTTTATACACTGTGTGGTGCATACATTCTGCCTGGAGTGTTGATCCTGCTAACCCAAGCGTTTGCGCCGCAACTGATTAATAGTACGTTTGCCGTCAAGTTTGTACGTGAGGGGGAAAGCTGTTATGTTGGTCAAGACATGATGCCTCCTTTATCGTACAAGATCAAGTACATAACGTTCTGGATTGGCCTATGGATTATCGAATCCATTACTGCCTACGTGATCCTCGTGCGTCCATTGATTCTTCCAACCCTAAGCATTTATGATATGCATCTCGACTATCAAAATTCACTGGTATCGTTTCACAATATCGGTATCATTGTGGCATTATGGCTTCCTGTCGTGTGCATTTTTAACTATTCCACTCAAATTTTCTTCACTATTTTTCAGGCATTATTGGGTGGATTTCAGGGTATTCTTATGAAAACGGGTGAGATTCATGGCGGAAAAGAAATGACTAAAGCCTTTCGTGTGGCCCCACAGTTGTTTGACCAGAAAGTTGTGACTCTGCTCGCAAGATCCAGTGATGCACCTACGAGTAGTATGGATAATGTCCGTGCCAGTGCCGTGGCGGCTGCATACGAGTCGCAAATGATGCTTCGATTTGTGGTAGTTTGGAATGAGATAGTTAATTCGTTTCGGGTAGGGGATTTACTAGATGATAAAGAAGCAGCGGTACTTCAGTACGATATTCGAAGCACCGGAGAAGTTTTTGAACCAGTGTTTTTATCGGCTGGGAAACTCACTGAAGCCGTGGGATTGGTTATCAAAGCAGCCAAAGAAGGCAAAGGTGAGTCTCAGCTGCGCGTGACGCTGGTGGAGAATGACTGTTTATCGGCCAATCGATCATTCTTTACTGCCAGTATGTACGTCATTAGTGCACTTTTCGGCACAGACGACGCGGACGTCGTGGACGGGTTTCGTATGATGGAGGAGCTGGCGGCCAATGGTGGATTCCTTAAGTCGTTTAATGTCCGTGAGTTGGCCACTTTGCGTCTTGCAACAGTAGATTTACTGGAGGAAATCCTTGACTTACCGGATCCAGATGTGCAGTCACAACACATTCCAAACACTCAAGTTCATTCGATGGGGGTCATACGCAATTTTGTGGCCAAAATGGAAACATTTCTAAACCATGTTCAGTCGTTTTGCGTCGATCCAGCCTTGCAGCGTAAGTTCAGCAACTCAAAATTCTGCACAAGTGCCAATGGCTACATGTATGCTTCGCGCGGACTGGTCAACTTGTTTTGCAGTGACACGGCTATGGGTGCTGCCACACGTGCGTGTTTGCTCTTGTCGCTGGATCGATCGGAAGCAATGCCTCGGACTATGGAAGCGCAACGTCGTCTTGGTTTTTTTATGAAATCGCTGGTGATGGACATCCCGCAGCTGCGTTCGATCAAGGAAATGCGCAGTTTTTCGGTTGTGACACCATTTTATGCTGAAACAGTCTTGTTTTCCCTGAAAGACTTGAATGATCCCCTTGTGAACCATCCAATTTTTCAGCAAGTAGAAGAAGATGGGAAGAATTTGACGATTTTAAAATACCTGACCAAGATTCACCAAGAAGAATGGGACAATTTCTTAGAACGTGTTGATGTGAGTTCAGCTGAAGAAGCGCAGAAGAAGTACCCAGAAGAAATTCGATTGTGGGCTTCGTATCGTGGTCAAACTTTGGCGCGTACAGTGCAAGGAATGATGATGTACGAGGATGCGATCAAGATTCTTCACTGGCTTGAAATCGGGTCGAGTCCTGGCAAGACCCCAGAGCAGAAGCAGAGCCAATTGCAAGATATGGTGCGGCTGAAGTTCTCGTATGTTTGCGCGTGCCAAGTGTATGGTAAACATCGTCTCGAAGGAAAGGCGCAAGCCGCAGATATCGACTATTTGCTGCGAGAGTACCCGAATCTGCGTGTAGCGTACGTGGACACTGTGGAGTGCAATGGAGATAAAATTTTCGATACTGTGTTGATCAAAAGCGAAGCTGACGAGATTGTTGAAGTTTATCGCTACTCGCTACCAGGTGACCCAGTACTTGGAGAAGGAAAACCAGAGAATCAGAACAATGCCCTTCCCTTTACTCGAGGCGAGTTTGTCCAGACTATCGACATGAATCAACAGCATTACTTTGAAGAGTGTCTGAAGATGCCCCAACTTCTATGTACTGCTGATTTGCATCCATCAAAGAAACCGGTCTCAATCATTGGTATGCGTGAGCACATTTTCACTGGAAATGCCAGCTCGTTGGCAAAGTTCAAGACGTGGCAAGAGCTGGTTTTCGTAACGCTATCACAGCGTGTGCTGGCCGATCCATTGTGTGTACGAATGCATTATGGTCATCCTGACGTGTTTGACAAAGTTTTGGCCATCACTCGTGGTGGTGTCTCGAAAGCTTCTAAGGGCATCAACTTGTCGGAAGATGTCTTTGCTGGATTTAACACGACGTTGCGTGGTGGAGTCGTGACACATGTGGAATTTATGCAGTGTGGTAAAGGACGAGATGTGGCATTATCACAGATCTCCATGTTTGAAGGCAAATTGGGCAATGGCGCAGGTGAAACGTCGTTGTCACGTGAAGCTCATCGAATGGGTCAGTTTATGGACTTCTTTCGCCTAAACTCCATGTTCTATGCCCATACGGGATTTTTCTATGCTACCTGGATGACAATTGTCACAACGTTTGTGTATATGTACTGCAAAGTGTATATTGCCTTATCGGGTGTTCAGTCACAAATTGTGTACAATTTGAATTCGACCGAAGTGATTATGGGTAATTCCGAGACCTATGGCTTTGATAATCGGGTGTTTGAAGACATGGACTCGGTGTATAATACGCAGTACTATATCCAAGCAGGGCTTTTTCTATCGCTGCCGTTGATCTGCGTATACTTTGCTGAAATGGGTGTATTACGTGGTCTGGTACAGTTTCTAGAAATGGTGTTCACTTTAGGTCCAGTTTTTTTCATCTTTCAACTTGGCACGACCATGCACTTTTTCGATAACAATTTGCTGCATGGTGAAGCAAGTTATAAAGCTACTGGTCGTGGGTTTAAAATTACAAGAGAGACATTTGTGTTGCTTTATAAAGCCTACGCGTCAAGTCATTACCGCAAAGCCATGGAACTCATCGGCTTGTGTCTCGTGTACTTAGCCTTTGGTGCGTTCGAAATTTGTGATACGTCTGTGGCTGGTGAAGAGAATTCGCTGGCGTTTGAATATTGTGATACGTCACAAAGTTTTGGCGTACAAACGTTTGCCATTTGGGTCATTGCTGTCGTGTGGCTCGTGGCTCCATACATTTTCAATACGGATGGACTGGATTGGGAAAAGACGAAAGCAGATGTTGCAACATGGGCCAAGTGGATGTACGCTACTGAAGATTACGTTGACAAAGACCAGGTGATGGTTGGAGGATGGATTGGGTGGTGGAAAGGCGAGCTGAAAGCATATCACAACTCGAAACCTATTGCTCGCCTAACGGTGTTATTTAGGGAATGTCGCCACTTTGTGCTCATGTGGTATGTTGTAGCACTCGAATGGGAAATTTTGACCGTTGGACTTGTCTTTGCATTTGCAGTGGTTACGATCTTGGCCATGGGACTCTTTGGGACGGTAAATGGCACAATGCGCAACATCAAAGCAACTGTTCGTGCTATCATGTACACATGTACAGTGACGATGGCAGTGATCATATATTTCGTCATAGCAATGGCAATTTTCGATTTAAGCTTTACTCGTGCCATATCTCTTTTTTTTGGGTATATGGCTGCGCTGTATGGACTGAATGAAATGGCGCGTATGTACAGTTTTGCCTCGTCGTCTATTGCCACCGTAGGCATGTTCCAGCAACTGGCTTTCTTTTTCGACTTTGTATTTTCTGTGTCCATGATTATCCCGCTTTTGATTATGTCGGCGGTTCCGTTTTTAAACATTGTGCAAACGAGAATGATGTACAATAAAGGCTTTTCTGAAGTCGTTTCAGCTTCGTCCCAGTATGCATTCTCACTAGCTGCATTTATGGGGATGTTGGGCGGCATTGGCTGTGGCTGGATGTTTCACTTGTTCACATCACTTGAAAGTACTGCTGGCTTCTTGAGTTATGCTACAACGTACAGCTTGCTTGATGGCAACGTTGGTGATGGTACAGTCACATACGCTTTCTACTTCGCCAACATCTTTGGTACCTTTTTGGCAGGAGTTCTTAATCACTTTATCGGCCGACGTTTGACGATTGTGCTTGGTGGTCTGTTGACTGTTTCTGGAATGCTTGGAGTCAGTGCAGTGCAATCAGCTGGCGAAGCCTTGTTGTTGCCAGGCATCTGCTTACTCGGGAGCTCTGTTGGTGTGCTGATGCCAACCTTGGCTGTCTATATTTACGAGATTTCAACTCGTGACATGCGTGGAAAAGCATTGCTGCTTTTAGGCTGTGGTTTTATCCTTGGCATTCTATTTGCCGCTTGGTTCTCCTCATCTTCGGACGAAGTCGGATGGGTGTGGCAAGTGTTCATTGCGACTATTATTTTGTCCATTATGACACCAGCTGTGTACATTTTCCCGGAAAGTCCGTATTGGGTGTATATGCGCAAAGGTCTTGAGTCGTGTGAACGCTGTCTGACTATATTACGGCGAAAGGAGAGTGTTTATGAAGAGCTAAGAATGATTCGTGATGAAGAAGCGGGCAGTGATGACTCGAGTGCAAGTGGAGGCACGTTGTTCTTAAAGTTCTTGGTGGGTCTCATGTTGATGCTTGTGTCTAGTATTTTTCTGGGCTGTGTCAACATGTATATGTCAAATACGTTTCGCAGCATGGAAGACGCGACGTACACATTTGTCAACTGTATGGCCATGCAACTCCTTGGTGCTCTCTTTTCTTTTTTCTTTATGGATCGAATTGATCACAAGCGCATTCTCTTTTGCACGTTGCTGCCAATGGCAGTGCTTGCAGTAGTATTGGGACTGAATGACCATTCCCCGTTTTTCTCGGGTCATAATGAATTTGTCTTGTTGCAGATTCTGGGATTATTAATTTACTTCTTTGCGGGACTTGGTATCACGTCAGTGCCTTGGGTTTCGTGTGTGGGACTTTTTAAGACGAGTCAACGTGCCGTATCGGTAACTGGCTATTTCATGGTGTTTTTTCTTCTGCCTGTGTGTGCGACTTATATTCGATCGAACGAAGCCGGAAATGGCGGTCCATATTTGTACCTATTTGCATTAAGTGGATGCTGTGTAGCTGCTATTGGGATTTTGTTCACGACAGGGACGCTCAAAAATGGAATGGTGTGTACCAAGGGTGAGATGGAGGCTGAACGCACACGGCTCCGTCGAATTCGTGCATCTCGTCGGAGTGCTCGCACACCCGGCAGCGCACGTTCAAGAAATCTTAGTCGCTCGCGCGTAAAGTCGCACTCGAATTATCAAATGTATGATTCGCCTTCTGGCAGTGCGCCGTAGTCGCCGCTACTTAAACGTTTAAGGCCGTCGCTGCTCTACTATATACATACATGATAATACGTAAAAAAAAGATTTTATACTATATATATTGTTTAGAGTATTTCTTCAAACCCTCGTGTTATCGACACAAATTTGGCATTTTCACAACTACAAAATGGTTTACTAAATGAGCCAAATATGAGCTAACGTTATGGCAACGGTTTGAAAGCGGCTTATCACATATTCGCGAGCGTACGAAATGTATCAATCATTGAAATACTGACCACATGCAAAGGCATCGTCGACAAGCTTCCGTCGCAAATCACTTGTGCAAGTCACTTGATTGTTCGATGAAATCTTCTGAAATTCTCACCAAAAGTCGTCGAGCGAACAAAGAGCAGAAAGTAGCTCGTTGCTGATTGTGAGTCATTGCCAATTGACCTTCCTGTTGTCTCGCCGCTTTTAAGCGTGAGGCGAGCGTGGAAACTGGACAGAGAGGCAGTTACTTTTGGCGCGAATGAGAGTCTGTAAGGATCGGCTCGAGGCTGGCTATCGCTTATCGTCACTTTTCTGTTTGATCACCGCTTTCTTCGGTCAAGCCCTCATTGTCATTTTTTTCTGCTTCCTTCTCTTCTTTCGGTGCCTTTTCTCTCTGATGAAGCTGCGCTTACTGCTACGATAGAAAGTGACCGTTCTTTGCCGCGATATGTGAAGGGGAAGGTTGACTTCAGCATTGTTAGAGTCGTCTTCATGGGATAATGACGTGTGACTCCCGTCATAGTTCCATTTTTCCCCTTAACAACTCTTAGTAACTACCACCCAGGGAGCAGTATCAATAATGACAAGTGTTGTCAGTCCCTATACCACTAAATTGCAGCTATCTCGTCCTCACACTAGACAACAAAGGTTTATCCGAACTCTCACCAAAGTGTTTTAGCAGCGATAAGAAGAAAACAAACAAGATACAACAATAATGTGCCAGTAGAGAGACAGGAATACTTCGGAGGGGCTCTGTCACTCATATCCTGGATGTAGGTCGGGGTATGCTTCTCGTTTGGAGAGTCAGTAACCAACCCAGCCTGCTGCCGCTCCATCGCCGGTTCCTCATCACGGTCATCATCGCCGGCAACAGATGGTCTCTCAACCACGATATCTTTTTCAAAAGAAAAGTGCTTTTCGAGGAGCTGAGACAGCAACGTCACCACCAACCACCACCTTACTGGAGCAAAAGAACAAGTGAAGAGGATCAACAACGCATTACTACCTCTCCCTCCTTTGACCCTGCTCTATTGGCAGGGCTGCGGTCCACCACAGTACGGGAAAAATTTCGAAAGGCCACAAACATTACACAATTCAGCAGCAGCGAGAGAGCCAAAGGTTGTTGGAGCAGTGATAGCACCTATTACGGCGGGAAATAATATCAATTATGGAACAGGAGAAGGAAAACCCTCTCGTCATCAAAATTTGGGGGAGTGCATCGAATGGATTGCTCCTTACAACAAAAAACTAACCTTGAATAGGCATATCACTCTTTCTGGAATGAAGCTGGAGCCACTGTCACTTTTTAAGTCTTAATAACTCAGGAGGTTTATGGTTTGATCTCCGCTACCGTCATCGATCTCGACAGCACGTTAGCTGAAGACGAATGAGAAGTGTATTCTTAGAGGGGGTCAGCTTTGGACAGATGTGGTGTCTATTGTCGGGACTATCAACGAAATTACCGCTTCTGGACTTTTAAGGTTGACAAGCCGTATTGTGGAATGTCTTTACATTAGCTTAGTTCATCTGGAACTTCAATCGATTTGGTAGACGTGCGAAAAAATGCTGGTGCCATATCCCCATACCTCCGATGGAGTACTCATTACGTCTTTCTCCATCCTATTGAGCTGAAGCGTCTCTTTTGTAGCTTTAGATAACTGTAGCAAATTATTAAATGCCTTCGAAAACACCGCGCTTGTGCACATACGATGTACTGCATATTCTTTCCAGCTAGTTGTTTGTCATGGGACCGAGCTCAATCTGCTGGAAGAAGCTTAAGGGGGCTAAAACTTCTTGTCAAGGCCAAAGCAGGAGCAAATTCTCTGTATTGCTCGAGTGTTCATTTAAGTGTCAGAAACAGAAGCCATATGGGTGATTGAAGAGGCTGACACGTGGTGCTACTGTTGGAGGAGAAATTGCTGAGACCAGCAGAAGCCATTATAAGATGTAAAGGCAAGCTGGAGATTTCATCGAGCAGTTGAGAATATTTCTGGAGCACCAAAGACTTTCTATTTATCGCTACCGCATTTATCACGCCTGCTAAGCCGGGTGCAAAATCGATCAAGCTGTTACAAACGACTTTACCCTCATAGCCTGCTCTGAAATGCAGACAGACCTCAGAAACCTCTTGAAATCTTTGAGGCTGTATCCTACAAATTGAGGGATCGTACTACTCGACTATATATGCTTGCCGTAGCCTCCCCGCAGAACAGTATAGGAGTGCATTCTTCAGTCTCACGGGTAGCCTGAGCGATTTATAACATTTTTGACGACAATATACACGTACATATCGTTAGTCATATGGGACCTTCATTAATGACCATCGGTAGCGAGATGCACACTCATCTTGTCGATTCTGCTAAAAGGGTTTATAGAAACTCTTGTGTCTATAGAAATAGAACCATCAGCGGGGAAGACAGAAAAGAGGAAGTCTGTTAACACAAATGGAAGATAGTCAGACGACAAAGAAGACGACGAACGACCATCAGTAGTCGATTCAGAAGAAAAAGTGGATTTAATCTCACAACTTAAGTGATAATGTTATCGGTGATCACGTGGACGGTTGGCGAGCGTACTTCAGGGGCAGACAGAGAGAGTCTGACAACTTTGATAGGATCGTATGGTGGCACGGCAATTTAGGATTGCACCTATCCTCGCAAAGATCAAACTGAAATATGCTTAGCTTCAGAGCCTGCAGAAACGCTCTTTCCGGAAGCAGGCCTAAATATCGCAAGAAGCAAATCAACTCGCTCGACAATGATTCGGTTGATGACGTGCTGGTTCTTCACAGAGCCCTGCAACAAGAAAACCGCAAATAAATCGCGCTTTTTAAATCATCAGCAGCATTCCTACTTCAAGTGTACTGGACTTCCTACTGGCAAAAGAGTGACCGTGATAATGCTGACGGCATCGCAACAACTTACAAAGTGATGAGCAGCAATAGTCATCAAGAAGTGATGCTGTTAAAAAAGATGAAAGATAATTAAGCCATCCGACGACGTTAATTCTCGTCCTCGTCCGTCAAGATTTATGATGAACTTAGAGCATTTCTATAGTTCAAAAACGCTTCTATGCGCGCTATTATCGCTTCACAAGGCTCAGGTTCACGCGGGGACATCGGCTTTCTAAGGCTGTCCTGCATGCCCTAAGACAAATAGGAGACATGCTTCATCCCCGCATAGGATCAGTCGTAACGACTCAGGCGTAGATTGACTACGAGTGCTACCAAGCGCAGCGGGGCTACCGTTGCTCTTTGCTTAGATAAGCTTAACTAAGGTCACCGGCCTTACGCTCTATACTAGAACCAGTACGAGTGTAGCGAATCGCAATCCGCTACCTTCAAGGGTACCCAAAACCATAATTAGGGCAAATGCATTCTTCCTTTCAAAATAGAAGCTGTATTTATTTGTTTAATTTGCGGCAGAGCCGCCCATATCTAAAACCTTAGTTGTCCTAATCTTATAGTAAAAGCTAATCAATATGTGCAGCGGGGCTGCCGTAGCTTAGCGCTTGAGGAAGCGTACTTTAGGTCACCGGTCTTTCGTTCTTTACAAGAACCAAGTATGAGTTAGCAGATCGCAATCCGCTTACTCCAA